ATTCCTCCCCCCCCCCCCCGGGCAGCTAGAGGTGGCATTAGGCCTGACAAGAGCCCAGAGGTTATAAAACTAATGGACCTCAGAAGCAGGTAGTTCTAGAAAGACTTCTGGGCCACTCAGTATCTTCAGTCTTCCCCAGGGGTGGTTCTAGATCCTGGCTCATCTCCTGGTCTCACTGACTTCTGCTCCTTGGCCCTTTGGGAGAGCCAGCTGGCCCAGCTGGGCTTGGCCGTAGCCAGCTGTGTAGCCAGATGTGAACAGCTGCCTGTGTGCGCAGCTCAGGGGAACCAGCAATCAAGTCACAGTCTCCTGTTAGCTCAGGGTCCCTTTGGAAAAGGGAAAGGGTTCATGGTCCTGAACAAACTCTTTGTGTGGGGCTCACAGGAGGTTTTCCAGAGGGGCAGAGATCCCCGAAAGCACATGTAAAGTCATGTGTGTTTGCGTGTTGTTCTGGGGGTGGGAGCTGGGAGAGTGTAGCATTCATCATATTCTCAAAGAAGGCCTTATTCCAGAAATGGTTAAAAACCCAGGTGCGGACCCTCTTGGTTCCCCATCTGCTCCACCTCTGGGCTGGGGTTCCCTGCCCACAACATAAGAGGCTCCCCCCAACCTAGGCCCCAGTTTCTCCGTCGCTGGACCTGAGGGGTGAGGAGTGGGGCAGAGGACCCGGTGGCTTTGGGCTTCTTGGTGAGATGCATGAGGACCCCGGGGGAGGCAGAGGGACTGTTCCGCAAGGAGATGGCCACTGGCTCCCCCGCCGTTAGCACCTGCTCTTCAGTGCCTCCTGGGAATCCAGTGTCCTGGTCCGGCCTGACCTTGTGGGAGATACCTCCGGGGCCCTGTCTCCCGCTCGCCCTTGCCAGGCAATGAGGGTTTCTGGGAAGCCTGGGGTGAGGGTGGCTGGGCCTCCTGGAAGATGAGGTCATCCCCGAGGGAGGCAGGAACAGGATTACCTGCTGTGCTCTCAAACATGTTTCCCGGGCAGAACAGCCACCTGGCAGCCTCCAAGGCTCGTGCCAAAGGAAACGGGCAAAGCAGGCTGCCGCTGCAGGCAGAAGGCTGCATGTGGCCTGGTGTCCTTTCCTCTGGCTCTCGCCACTGACCAGTCCGGGCCCAGGAGCCTCCAATGGGGTGGGAGGCAGGGGAAGCCCGATCCTGTAGAAAAAGAGAGGGGCTCGGTCAGAGCTAAACAAAGGGGAGAGAGGATGTCTGCCGCAGCAAGAGGAATTGAGGGTAGAAGACATGAAGAATGCCCTCAGAGATCAAATATGGAAAAAATACTAGGGAGCAAGGGAGAGGGAGAAGAAATGAGAAAACCGGCCTTGTTCCCTTTCATTGGAGGCTCGGGCCTAGGTCTCTTTCTCCCGTCCTCCCCCGTTCTATCCCTTCCTCCCGCTTGTTGCTCTGGTTCTAGGGCTGAGTCACCGGAGAGGAGAGGGGGCTGGCTGGGCAGCGTAAGAAGTAAGGGGAGGACAGAGAGGGCTGCAGTCTCAGCCACCACAGGACCGGCCTCTGGGAGATGGCTAATTCCGGCAGCAGAGTTGGCACAGAGCTGGGATCCAGGCATCTTAGAACTGCTGCCACCCCACCGCGGGCTCAGAGCTGGGGCAGCCCCCTCCCCAACCAGCTTCTAGCTCTGAGGAGTAAGGCATGGGGACCCATTAGCCTGAGTGCTGGACCCTCTGGTCCTCTCCATTGGAGCCACCCCAGCGCCCCCTCCCCCCTTGAGGAGTAGAGCCTGTTTCTCTGAGCATCACCCCACACTCCAATATCCCAGGGGGGCCTTCCTCTCTTTGAGGTGAGCCAGCCTGGTTCCCTGACACCCCTGGGCCTCATACCCCAGGCCCCTCCCATTCTACTGCTTTCTACTTGGCTGTTGCATTAGCCTTGAACTGTCAAAGAAGTGAGAGGCAGGAGTGAGGAAGTGCTTTTCCAGAACTTGGGGCTCAGGGGGCTCCCCAGGGGCCAGGCGGGGCTGTCTGGCTGGAGCCACAGGAGAGGGTGAGGAGGCAGCTCTTTGAAAGCCTTTAAGAGGTCATCTTACCCATTCCCCTACCTCCCGGAGGGGCTCCCTGCCCACCAACCCCAGCCCAGACTCCAGGAGAGGTTTGATCTGATCTCTTCTTGCTCCAGGGGCTGGGCAGAGCCTCCCTCCGAGCCTCCTGATTGCCGCTGGGAGGGTGGGCTCAGTGTGGTCCAGAAGGGGTCAGCTTTTGGATTCTCAGATCTGGACCAGATCCAACAGCAGGCAGCAGAGCGCTCATTTGCATGTTAATGTGTAATAGATTTGCATGTCAGTAAGGTCTCTCCCACCCTCTGGGTGCTCCCACATCTGGCTGTGGCTGGAGGCAGCTGGATCTGACCCTCTGCACACCACCTTCCTCCATCCACTCGCAGTCCTATGACTCTAGACCCATTGGATGCTGGGCTGGGAGCCAGAGGGCCTTAAAGGGCCTCTGAACAGGCCAAGTTGGAGCTAAAAATACTCCAGGGGGTGGGAGTGGGGGCTCCCTGTGGAATCTCTGGGGAGGGTTGGGCTGGGGATGTGGGCCTGGCATTGCCCTGCCGCCCATCAGTAGGCACGAGACTGGTTGGGGCAAGGCCGGGGAGGGTATAGATGGTAAGGGAATTTATTTCAGTTCAGTTGCCTTTGTGCCCAGCTCTGCCTGCCTGGTTCTCCAGGAGGCTAAGAGGAGGGGATCCTCGGCTCCCTCCCTCAGACATCTTGGGCAAGCAGCAGGAGTAGCAACACTTCCATGGCATCGCAGTCCTGGGAGGCAGCCTGGCCTCCTCTCGCCCACTGAGGCCTGGCCCCACCCCTTCAGGGTCACTGTAGCATGACCCCAGCCTCCACCAGCCAACTCAGAGCTCCCACCCTGGAATGACTCCAGCTGCCAGGGCCCCACCCCCACCTTAGTGGTTGCCTGGTCTCTTTAGGCATTGCAAGTGCTGCTGTGCCCCATCCTCTGCTCCCTCTAAATAACTGGACTCTATGTGTCCTCAGCTCCAGGCTCCCTAACCTGGTGGGACAGAAACTCCCGGGTGCCTGGGGTGTGCTGGGGCCAGTCCTGGTGTCTCAATAATCAGGACAGTGTTCACACCGACCATGGCTTCATAGCCAGAAAGTCCTTCCAAAGGGAGAAGCCATTAGTTCCCCCTGGAGATTGTCGGGACAGCTGCTGTTTCCATTTCACAGATGAGGCACTCAAGGCTCAGAAAGGGAAAGGAAATTGCCCCTTGAAGCAGAACAAACCTGACAGCCAGACCCTTAGGCTCCCAAGCTGGAATGCTCCTTTCGAAAGGCTCCCCTCTCTCACCTGTCAGGCTCCCTAGGGGTGGGTGTCCATGGGTGGTCAGGCACCCTCCTGAGCTTAGACAGAGGGTGACTAACTGGGCCTGGCTGCCACACTGGCCCCCTGCCAGCCTTCCTGCCTAGCACCGCCTAACACTTCCCCAGGGTGAGGTCTGAGCTAAGGTGTAAGGTGCAGGCAGGGCCCCACCCCCTTCCCAGCACCTCCAGGCCGTGCATTCCTGACACCCAGTGGGCAGAGGCACCCAAGTCCTGGCATGCCTAGGCCCCGCCCTGCCCACTCCCTGAAACCTTCACTCACAGGTTCCAGGCAAGAGCTGCAGGCGGGGTATGGCACCTCCAGACTCTGGCAAGAGGCCCAGAGCCTGAGTTCTGAGCTGGGAGCCTCAGGGCGCTAGTATTGCTGGGGCCCGACGGAGGGGCTCCTAAGAGGTGCCTGCCACCCAGGAGGCTGGGTCCATGAGAATCAAAGAGGCTACAGAGAGATGATGCGATGATGCTGGGAGAGTGAGGAGTGGTAGAACTGGATTCTCAAGCTGGGTGTACAATATTTGGGGTACATGTTAAACATGCAGGTTTGAATATTCCTATTCAATTCAGGTGGTCTGCGATGGGCTGAGGAATTTGCCTTTTCAACACATATCCCAGGGATTTCTGATGCTGGTGGTCCAAGGACTCTTGAGATATGATTCCGAGGCGAATCCCCTGCCTTTCTGTCCTCTAGTCACCTCTCTGGTAGGGATGGGTGGCTGGGATCCTAAGCATCCTGTTGGAACTTGTAGTCAATGTCCCTAAAGATGGGCAGGCTGGGGACCCATGTCCACTCTCATTCCCACTATCCAAGAACACTGCCCTGGGGACAGAATGTCCAAAATGTCGAGTACCCAGTCCCACCCAATACCCATGAGCCTGTCTTAAGGTGGCAGTGGGGGTGGGGGTGTAAGCATCACTCAGATTCCTTAGGGGTCCACTCCTCCTAGATCTTAGTCCTCAGATGGCTTAGAGTGGAAGGACCCAGGGTCCCAACAACTGACCCCACGCCACCTCTTACACGTTTTCTCCCAGGTCCTCCTGGAAGTTGAGCCCTGCGCCAGGATCCCTCCAGGCTTGCTCTCTTTCCATCTACCTTCATCTCAGAGGCCAAAGCATTCCTTCCAAAACCCAGATCCGACCATGTCACTCCCAGATCTGACCATGTGACTCCCAGATCTGACCTCGCTCAATATCCCTCCATGGCTCCCCAAGGCCCTTTGCACCCTGCACTCTTGTCTCTCCCCAGGTTCCTGGATTCCAGCTGTGCCAGGACCCTGCAGATACCTGAGTCATCCTGCTTGCTCATGCTTCCTGGCCCCTGGCCCACGCCACACATATGCCTGAAGTGCCCTTCCTCCCCTTCCTCACCTGGCGGCCTGGTCATCATTCTCAGACTCAGACCAGATCCCCTCTTCCCTGGCTGCCACTCATGCAGAATTGGGGCTGGTTTGCACCCTGCTTTCCTCTCGTGAGGCGCTGACTGCAGAGGTCTGCTTCCTGCCTGCCTTCTCCTACGGGCCTGCTCCTGGAGGTCAGGGGCTGGGATCCGTTTATCTCCTGACCCCAGAGCCTGGCACACAGCCTGGCAGAGCCAGATGCTCAGTAAATGCATGTTAAACAGCAAGCTGTTTGAAGTGGGCTTTGGGGAGTCTGAGCCCAGGCCCCCTACCTCCTTGCCCCACAGGCTCCTGGTTGGTGCTCCCCGTGACCTCGCCATGTCTGATGGCTATACCAACCGGACCGGTGCTGTGTACCTGTGCCCACTCAGTGCCCAAAAGGACGACTGTGAGAGGATGGACATCACAGAAAAAAGTGAGGGGAAGGGGCTGGGATCAGGGCTGTGTCAGGAGCCTGGTGGAGAGGGTAGCAAAGGGAGAAATGACCTGGAGGAGATGAAGGCTCACTTGGGCAGTTTCTAGTCACTTCTTGTCCAGCTGGGGAGTCTTAGAGGAGAATGGGACCATATGGGATTTGTGGAGCTCAGACTGTGGGGGGCTGGAGGAGGGAGGAGGGACGGCTGCCCTGCTGGAGTGGAGGACCCAAGGGAGACTAACCTCTGCCCTCTGGAAGCTCTGGGCACTTGGAGGATGGGGTGCCCTGACCCATGATCCCCCCCCCATGCCCACAGGTGACCCTGACCATCACAGAATTGAGGACATGTGGCTTGGGGTGACCGTGGCCAGCCAGGGCCCTGCAGGCAGAGTCCTGGTAAGTGGGCACTCCAGTCAGTTCCCCGCTTCAGCCCTCTCCTTCATCTCCCCGGAGCTGCGGAGAAATCAGAGGACCGAGGGGGTCCTTGGTGCATGAGCGGGGGCTTTGCAAATGACTACGTCTATGGCTCTCTGTGTCTCAACCCTGCATTTATGGGGAGGGAGGGGGGGTCTGGCACTCTCCCAAGACCCAGCATGGCCTGGGTCCTGTCTGAATCACACTTCCTCCCTGCCCCACCCCTGCTACCCCCTGGGTTGCTCACCCTTCGTGGGAACAGCTACAGGAACAGCAAAGAGAAAAGGGCAGATAGGCCCCGAGGCCGTGTGGCCTGGGCTTGCTCCTTCCGGGAGCCTGGCTGGCTGTCGGAAGAGGGACAGTCCTGCTGACCTCAGCTCACTTGGTTTGGGTCTGAGGGCCTGTCCCTCTTATCAGCTGTCACCTCCTGCCCCATTCTTTTAATAGATTTTTATTGATTTCAGAGAGGAAGGGAGAGGGAGAGAGAGAGATAGAAACATCAATGATGAGAGAGATTCATTGGCCAGCTGCCTCCTGCACGCCCCACACTGGGGATCGAGCCCGAAACCAGGGCATGTGCCCTGACCGGGAATCTAACCGTGACCTCCTGGTTCATAGGTCAGTGCTCAACCACTGAGCCACGCCAGCCGGGCATCCTGCCCACATTCTTCAGTGCTGGCCCCTGGGGCTCTCAGTTTCTGCGTCCCAGAGAGAGAGAGATTTTAAAAACGGATATAAAATGTACATACAGCAAAATGTACAGATTGTAAGTGGCATTGAGTTTTGAAAATTATACACCTGTGTTACCAACATCCATTAAAGAAATAGCGTATTCACAGCATTCTAGAAAGTGTGCCCCCTTTCAACCAGTCGTCACCTCCAGACCCATCACTGCTGTGCTCTTCGCCTTTGAACACTGTGTTAAGCTCCGGGTTTGCATCACTTCACTCAGACACCTTATGCAGACCTCTGTTATGGATGGTGTGGGGCTAGGACCCACTTACGGCTGTTCTAGATACGGGGTCCTTCAGTGTTGTCTGCTCACCCATCTATCTGTTCCTTCAACAAGTTTTTAGCGAGCACCAATAGGGGGGCCAGGCACTGTGCCAGCACCAGGAACTTGGTGGTGACAGGTCAGGCTGGGCCAGTGGGAGTGAAGCTCACAGCTGGAAGGCACACAGAAAGTGAGCCACCACAAACGAGGCCTGGTGTGGCGTTTTTGCCTGGCCCCTGGCTGTTTTGCAAGCATCCTATTCCGATTGATTTGCCCAATAACTATTTCTCGGCCGTGTGCTGGGAGAGGCGACGAGAGAGGCAGTGCAGCCTAGTGTGTAACAGCTTGGACTTCAGAGCCGGACAGCCTCTCTCGAGATGTGAGATCTTAGACAGAGACTCACTCTCTGTGCCTCTAAAATGGAGAACGTGATTGTCCCTACTCCATGGTGTTGTCAGGAGGCTTAAAAGCCTTAGTATGTGAAGAGCTTGGACGTGTGTCCGGCATGTAGTGAGCACTCCGGTTCAGCTGCGGCTGCTGTTGTTGTTAGTTGTCCTTTCATCAAGAGGGCAGGGTCATTTGGGGACAGCAGAGAAGCAAGTCCCTTAATCTGCTGGCGATCTAGCTCCTTAAAGACCTGAGAGCTTGAACCCACATTCCCTCATCCTTTCCCCCTTTCCTTTTGCCAGAATCTCTGAGCCACTCTCAAATCCAGTACCTTCTGGCCTTCCCAAGAGTGTTTCCAACCTTCAGAGCAGATTTCTGATTCTGGAAAGGAGATGCGGGTCCAGGCATCCCTAGGAGGCCCCCCTTCCAGCTCCTCTCCCGCAAAGCCAGGGGTGCACAGGGCCGAGGGACAGCGGGCCCTGCATCCCTGCTGCTGGCTCAGGCTGTGCGCTGGGGTGGGGTCCCCAGGTCTGTGCCCACCGCTACACCCAGGTGCTGTGGTCGGGGTCGGAGGAGCAGTGGCGCATGGTGGGCAAGTGCTACGTGCGGGGCAACAACCTAAAGCTGGACCACACTGACGACTGGCAAACCTACCACAACGAGATGTGCAACAGCAACACCGACTACCTGGACACGGGCATGTGCCAGCTGGGCACCAGTGGTGGCTTCACCAAGAACACCGTGTACTTCGGCGCTCCCGGCGCCTACAACTGGAAAGGTGAGGACCCTAGGGGCAGGGGAGCAGCAGAGACCACCCGCCCCAGCCAGCCACTGGGACAGCTGGCCGAGACCCTCCACCCTAGGGGGCAGAGGAGACACACCCCCATGGCCAGTACCAGCAACCACCACAAGCCCTACTATTTGAAAGCAATTACACATATTATCCTAATTAACCTTCAGATACTCTATGAGGCAAGTATTGTTATACCCATTTTACAGAAAACTGGGCCTCAGAGAAGTGAAATAAATTGCTCAAGCTGACAGCAGGCTATGAAACCTGACTTAGAATGCAGGTCCATCTGCGACTAGTGTAGCCACTTAAAAACTGATTTAAAAAGCACGACCTGCTCCAGGTACAGCTACTAAATGGTACAGTAGGATTTGGTAAAATAAAGAGTAAAAGTGCCCCTCCTCTCCTCCCTGCCATCACCCATCTCCCTCGTCCCATTTCCCAGTGTACACTCCATCTTATGGACCCTCCAGACTTATTTTCTTATTCTTTTTTTAAAAAATATATTTTATTGATTTTTTACAGAGAGGAAGGGAGAAAGATAGAGAGTTAGAAACATCGATGGGAGAGAAACATCGATCAGCCGCCTCCTGCACATCTCCTACTGGGGATGTGCCTGCAACCAGGGTACATGCCCTTGACCGGAATCGAACCTGGGACCTTTCAGTCTGCAGGCCGACGCTCTGTCCACTGAGCCAAACCGGTTTCGGCCAGACTTATTTTAGACTATAGAGGTACCTTTAGGACACACACAGACAGACTCACACTAAACAGGCTGTTCTACTGCTTTCCCTTTACAGTAAACTGTGGGCATTTTTTTTTCATGCCAAGACATATAGGTCAATCTTTTGGGGGCTGCAGAGTATTTCCTGGTACCAAGACCCATGCTTGTAACCACCAGGGCGCGCACGCCTCACGGCCCACACCCCCTGCGTCTCCGCTTTTCTCTGCCACACGGGTTGTAGCGGCAGCGACCCATCTCTTACTGTGCCCTGTTGTCGTCGAATCAACAGGCAGAGGGAGCCCAGAACCTTGGGCCCTGGCCCAGGTCTTAGTCATGGCTCTGTGCTCACCTGAACTGAGGCCTCTGCTCATTCCTGTGGTTCTGCCT